TCAGGGATGACATAGATTACCTTCCAGAAGGCAACAGTGAAGGCCAGACCTCTCTTTGGACAAGGCCAAATTCTTTATTACACAGTAAATAAATGAGCTGCCTTCAGTAGGATCTCTGAGGCTCTGGTCTCCAGCTTTTGGGCTCATTACCTGCTTGAAATTAAGCAAGGCTTATCAATCATAATGGGGTTATGCAGAGAAAACAAAATAAAAAATTATCTCAGGCTTGAAACAGCATAGGTCTATCTCTCCTTCAGTCTCCATGGCCAGCATGGGTTGAATGAAGCCTCTGCTCCCCATTTCCATGCTCGGGGTCCAGGCTGATGGAGCCAGCACCATCTGCAGTGTCACTCTGCCATGGCAAGGCAAGACTGGTAATGAATCGCTCGTTGGCCATCCAGGCAGAAGTGACACACAGACACACATTGCCTCTCACCCTTCAATGGCCAGTGCAAGTTGGACAGTCATAGCTAGTTTAGGATTTGGGGAAATTGAAAAACCGTTGTACCCTGCGTTCAGAAAGATGAGAACTGATCATAATAGCCCTCGTTGCTACCCCAAGGGATTTATCTCTAAAAACAAATAGACTCACATAAAAGTCTTTTAAGCATTGCTTCTGTTTTTCTTCCTCATTGTCCTACTTAAATGACATCAGAATTTGCTCATGGAATCCTGGAAATTCTGCTTACTTGCCATCAGCTCTGTCTCATTCTGCCATCCACTCTTGCTAGTTTCTGACCAGGGTCTCTGACTCTTGCTAGTTTTTAATTTATGGTTATTGGGATCTCCTAAGTCCTGAAATACAGAGAAAGAAAGTTGACTTGGTTCTCTGCATGTACCTCGCCCTCTTCCTCCAAAGAACCCCATCTTTCTAGCCCCACAGGAGGTGCTGATCCCCAAATATATTCTGTTGGTCCATGCTCTATGCCTTTGCTTATGTGGTTCCTTTATAGAAATGCCAAGCCCACCCCACTGGCCAACAGGCCACACAGACTCATATTTATCCCGGAGTCTCAACTCAAATTTGTCTTTCTGTAATTTTTGTCTACTACTTCCTTCTATGTGAATCTACTGGTTTTCTATAAATCTGTTTGCACCATTTTCTTTGACTGTTTGTACCTCCCACTAAAGATGTAAGGGTAGAAATGCTGTCCTCTGTCTTTGTGTCTCCAGCACATCAATGGCCTGAGAGTAACTTAATAGATCTTTGATGAACTGGTGATAATGGAGATATTGAATCTCTAGGGTGAACAGGAGAGAGAAGGAAGGTCATAGTTAGCAATTACAGCAAGTCCTCTTACGAAAAAAATACCTTCTTTCAACTAAATTATTTCTAGCCATTAAAAGTTGACCCTTTTCTTTTATATAGCAAGTGACCCAATATAGTTAATTAGAACAGAAGGAGTTTAACAAAGATTTCCACTGTGCTTGGGTATTGACAACTGGTTTTCTGTATAATTTATTTCTGCACTACATTTATAGTGCTGTGGTCCAGACTGACTGCTCTTGGCTACCAGGGGATGGGTGGATTTGGGGGATGGATGAGATCCCTGACCGAGAGCTGTGAACTGCAGTGAGGCAATGCCAGATACATTCCTCTAAAAAGGAAAGAAAGCCCTGAGGTCAAAACACACTCAGTCTGCAGCTTTTTTTTCTTTCTTTCTTTCTTTCTTTCTTTCTTTCTTTCTTTCTTTCTTTTTTCTTTCTTTCTTTCTTTCTTTCTTTTCTTCTTTCTTTTCTTTTTTTTTTAAATGCTAAGGGAAAGAATCGCACAACCATTTTCTTCAGGCTTATATTTTAAGATCTCATGTCCTCTTCGAAGCTGTCTTTGATATATGTGATATATGGAGAGGAGAAAAGGGAAAACAGGGAGATAACAAAAGTATTTAAAATAATTTGATTCAAACGACCTACTTTCCAAGCCCATAACACCAATGTTTTGTGCTGTTTAGATGCATAGGCTGTGTGCTGGTGGCTTTTCTAAAGAACACACAGCAGAAAGCTGGCTGGGAGAGGTGGACAGGAATTGGAGATCTTCAAGAGGGTAGCCCTCGAAGCTTGGTAGGTCGCCAGGTGAAGCGCCGGATGAAATTGAGTTTTAGGTAGGGTGCGGTACATCTGAGTTTGCTGGTCGCCGTTGGTGTTGGATGTTCCACTATCATTATTAATAGTGCCCTGTTTGGGCCTCCAAGGTGTCCTGGTCTGGAATCGCCACCCTGATTTTAGGCCCCCTAGAGTGAAGAATAGCGGAGTGATGGATGGGAAGCAACAAGACTCTAGAGTGAAGAGGGCTCAGGGGAGAATTATTTTATGAGAGTACATGCTGTACAGAGTTTTCCTTAAAAGGCTTCATATAGTGCTCTCTGAAATACCTTGCAGACTTTCTTCTGACGCACTTCTCGACATCAGTTTATTTTTCTTTGGTGCAGCATTTATGGGGCCAATGTGTCTCCACGCAGGCTGGATTTCTTTGAGACTCACGGGCAGCAGTGCTGCTTGTATGTGTGATTCATGCCTGGACAGATTGGCTGTGAATGGGGTGATAAGAATAGAGAGAAGCACATACCAGTAGACCACACTTCCTGTGCACAAGCCTTTGAATACTGCATTTCACTGTCTGAAATAGCATTCATCTTCAGGCTGGGATCATTTATTCCCTGTGGAATTAAGCAATAGCGCTGGCAGCAGAAGAAACTATTTTGGGAAAGGGATGTGGGAGGAATTTGGCTGTGTATAACAGGCTAGGCGTGAGTACCTTCCGTGGTTCCACACTGTTCCCCGAAGCCCTGGTAAGTGGGAATTGACAACCTTCAGATAATCCCACGCGTAACTAATGTCCAGGGCAATGTATACATGCTGTGATCTCTAAGGGTCAGTAAAGATGGAGTTTAGAGGCTTCAATTTAAGTCCCCTAAATGGCAGAAAGAGAACTTTCCTTTGGAGATTAGCGTTAGCTTCTAATGCAGATGCTGTTGAGAAGGAGTAAAATGTAACATCTTGCTCTTGTCCCCCTCCTTACACCTGCCCTTTCAGGTGGTTTTTGCATTTTCCCATGTAAACTTACCTCTATCCTTGGTGAAGTTTAAAATAAGGCAGTGAATGCTGTGTGCCCCCCCCCCATTCCCTCCCCATAAAGCTGAGGTGGGTAGGACTTGGCAGCTGGTAGCAGCTGTGAAGATAAATAGGCACCAGGGCTCCTGGATGGACGGGGTGCAGAAGGCGTGGGATGAGGTTTGCAGCTATGAGTGTCTGCTGTGGGACGAGGCCATGAGGACCGAGCTGCAGCTGGAGGCCAGAAGTTCAGGCAGTGAACAGGAGGTGGGGGCTTACAGGAACCAGTGGAATTAGTCCTTTTGATCAAGCTATTGTGTTTGCAGGGGTGAGGGGGGCATAGAAGAGTCAGATACAACTTAAGTGACTTCTATCTTGTCATTTAATTAGTCTATTTATGGAAGCCAGGGAACTGTGTTCGTCTGTTTCTATTTAACTTTGCTGTTGGATAGTCCTTCAACTGACTGCCTTCAGAATTTTGTCTTTACAAATCAGCTACAATTAGAAATTGAAAACAGCACCCCAGGGCTACTTTAAAATTTTATATTTTGTTACTACTAACCAGTTTGGAAAATGTTTTTCTATGGAAGGCTTTTAAATTCTCTTTTCAATGTGGTAGTTGTCATCACAACAGATTGTTTTGTTATTTTAGTATTTTTCTTTCACTTTGGCCTTGGGATTAATGTGAGAGGCAGAGATGTTAAGGTTCTCCACTCCAAATAGTGCTGTCAGGGGTGAGGCTAAACATTTCATAAATTATATCCTTTGCTCACAAATATATAGTGAATTTACTAAAGTCAAAACCATAAATATCCACTTGTTTTGTATGGGGTGCTTGGTGAAGTGCCAGTAACTCATACCTTTATAGACATCAATGGCCTATAAGCAAATGAATTATCATTTTTTTGAGAGTTTATAAGGATTTTATTTTATTTTATTTATTTTTAATAATAAACACTGGGTGTTATTCTGTATGTTGGCAAATTGAACACCAATGAATTATCATTTTTTTAAAAAAGATTTTATTTATTTATTTATTTATTAGACACACAAAGAGAGAGGCAGAGACACAGGCAGAGGGAGAAGCAGGCTCCATGCAGGGAGCCTGATGCGGGACTCGACCCCCGGGGTTTCCAGGATCAGGCCCTGGGCTGAAGGCGGTGCTAAACCGCTGAGCCACCCGGGCTGCCCCATGAATTATCATTTTATTTTCCAGTTAAATGAATCAAAATGATCTCAGAATCTGAAATACATTGATGTCTTTCTATCTGGACATGACATGAAAAGTTTTTCATTTTTATGCAACATTTCTACTTCTTCATAATTTTAATTACTCACGTGAGAAGTTGATAGAAAAGACCTTTATCTCGTGACAAGAAATAAGAAAAGTAATGAAAATTTTGAGGCATGCCAAATAAAATATTGAAAAAGAATTCAAGGAGAAATGTTTTTTAACTTAGAAGATTCTTTAGCATTTTTCTTTTCATGTCTGTATCTCTAGGATGCTGGAGAATTAACTTTAAGCGCAACTGTTAAGTCAATAGTGATGAAGGAACTAGGTATGTTGGAGGCAGAGAGGTAGAGAAGGAAAGGGGAGGGAAGATATTTTAAAAAGGAGATTGAAGAAAAACCTTTGAAGTGTTCAGAGAAATGATAAATATCAAGAAAAGGCTTCCCGAGGGCTACCACATGGTAGGATCAGCAATGGGACATTCAAGGAGAGAGGACGGCCAGAATTGAGTTTGGGCAGAAAATCAGGCCTTTTTCACCTGGGTTTCATATAGATCCTTAAACGCACCCAAGAGAGATGATGGAAACTCATCACCGGCCTGCCGTCTGGGGGTTGACCTGTGGGATGAAATCGCCAGTGGTCCCAGCCTCTCCAATCTTTTTATTCGTGATTGTGTGTGTCCTCACACTCCCTGACCTTCCCCTCTTCTGCGTTCCAGGAGAGACAGCGTCTGGAGACCATCCTCAGTCTATGTGCTGAATACACGAAGCCCGACAGTCGCTTGTCCACTGGCACCTCCGTGGCAGATGTGCAGAAGATCAATAAGGAGCTTGAGAAGCTGCAGCTGTCGGACGAGGAGTCTGTGTTTGAAGAAGCCGTGGTGAGCCCTGACACCAGGTACAGGTGCCACCAGAAGGCTTCTCTCCATGACGCCGACTTGCCAGTCTTTGGGAGCATCGGTCAGAGCAGTGCCAGCCTCCTCTCCCCCAGGAGCATCAGGAATGATGACCTGCTCAGGGACTTCACGTCGGCCTTTCTGAAAACTTCCAGCGAGTCTGCTTATCTTAGTATCCTACCAAAGGTAAAGGCGACAAAGCAAAAAGACCAGGATTTAGGGTGTGGGGCTTGGCATCTGCATTGGCCTAGAGACTAGAGGTTTTACCTTTACTTGCTTTCCAAAATGTTCTCAGTGAAGCTTCGATTTAAGAGGTCATTAGCTAAACAAGGTGCAGCAAATTAGGGTGTTTACCGTAAAGTAACAAATGTGCCCCAGAAAAAACTGTAGCTGTACAGAAAAGTCAAAAGAAAGAAGTTTCTCTTCTTTCTCTCTGCCCCCTCCCAGTTGTACACCTGAGAAATAAACACAGAGTGTCTTACCTGCCTTCTTAATATTTCTGTGCATATATGGCTATGTGTTCTATGCACACACACACATATATAAACATGCAGTGTTCTGCTCTTTTTCTTTTCCTCACTAAATATCTGAACATCTTTGCATTTTAGTATACACAGCTCTGCCTCATTCTTTTTAATAGCTGACTAGTATTCTGTTGTTTGGAAATACTATGTAAACTGTCCCTAGTTTTTTTTACTAATAAAATCTATAGGCAGCAAATACTGTATGTATCTGCAAATGTATCTGCAAGATCATTTCCTAAAATTGGAATTGCTGAATCAAAGGGTTTTTATATTATTCATTTTTCCAAATATTTCAATATTATTGAATATTTATATTGGAATATAAATTAATAAGAATATTGAATATTTATATTCAATATTATTCCAATATTTCCTAATTATACTCTGGGAAGATTATACATTTCCAGGTGACACTTGCACTAACAGTTTATGAGCACACCTTGTTCTCCATTCACTTGGCCAAGGCTGTATATTATCATAATTTTTTAATATGCTAAGTTAATTGGTGTTTAATTTGCTTCTCTTTAATTATGCACCTTTTCATATTTTCAGTTGTTGATTTGTATTTTTGACCCACTTGTTCATGTTCTTCACCCATTTTTAAAAATCTTCTTATCTTGTTTTTACTAAGTAATATGAACTACCTATAAGGAAAGTAGCTTTTATCATGAGCAGTCTTCCCCTTGACTTTACTTGTGATATTTTTTAGAGGTATAGGAGTTTAAGATTCATATGTAGTTATAATTATTGCTTAGTCTTCTGGTTGTATAATGATTTCAAAATGTCCTTCAAATTTGAGGATTTCTTAAATGGAATTGAAGGATAATCTTTTGATGTTACTTTTTTCACCTATGTGTGAAAAAATAATTTTTTTTGAGACAGAGTGTGTGCAGGCATGCAAGTGTGTGACTGGAAGGCAGAGGGAGGGGAGAGAGACAATCTTAACCAGGCTCCATGCCCAGCTCGGAGCCCAGTGCAGGGCTTGATCTCACAACTCTGAGATCATGACCTAAACCAAAATCAAGAGATCAAGAGTCAGATGCTTAACTGACTAAGCCATCCAGGCACCCCAAGAATCTTTTTTCTATGAAATTAAAATAAAAATTCTTTTGCCCCTTATCTAGAAAGGATTTAAGAGAGCTGCAAGAAGACATAAATTTTATTGAGATAAAATTAACACACCAAAAATAGTAATTAGAAGGGGAAAACAGACACCACAATCACAATAATTTATTTATTTAAATAAACAGGATTAATTAAGTAAGTAACTCTGACCATGAAGTTCCATTCTGAGATTCTTGGCGATTTTAGTCAAAGAATCAAAACCACCAAAAGATACATTAGTTAAGTTTTTGTTGTAGGAGGAGGACTCAAACTGATTAAGAGAAAGACCTTATCATGGTGCTAAATTCTGACGTTAGTTTATTATCACCTGGAGTATTATTCAGGAGGCGTTTGCGTGTTGGTTTTGACTTTTTCACTCCATGTTCCTTGGAAGACGTCTGTGTTTGCCTTCTGAGTTCTCCCATCATCTACATCAGGACTCAGAAACGTCTGGTCCTTCTTTCTCCTAATGACCACGTTGACCTTACTCATTCTCAATGGAGACTACTTCTGAATAGGACATTTGTCTCTACTGCCAGAAAGTTGTAACTGTTAGAATCTAGGATGGGGGGCGGAATCAAAAGTTGTTTGTGTTCAGGCAAAGTAAATGACCCGCCGTTTGAAAACTTGAGCTGTTTTCAGCAGCCATTAGGCTTCCTTTGAAGTCCTTGGCTTCCTTTTCATTTAAAGCCCTTTCCCATTTCTTCCATCATGGGCAGCTGCCAGATTTTTGTTCAAGCAGTGAGCTGTGTGTCTCTCTTTAAGGACAATCTTTTGGGAGGCAGGTTTCTTCCTGAAGAGGCCTGGGACAAGAGAGCCGCTGGTGTGTAAATGGGCAGATGATGGCAGATGTTTTTAATTGCTCAAATATGCTTTTGTGGAAAAGGAGGCCTCTGAAGCTTAGAGCAGCCTCTGTTGCAGCAAGACATATAAGACTGTGCATCCTTTAGAGACAGGAAATGTCAAAGGCGCCTCTGGTTACCACGCAACAGCTTAGGCAGAGAGTGAGGGAGGGGGATGCATTCCAAGGATGGAGGTTTGCATTTATGACTTTTTGGAGACAGATATATGTTACCTCAGGACCAATAGGAGAATGTTTTATTAAGTCCTGACCATTTGTTTTGGATGCTTTCCTTCTTAGTAATCTGCTGATTCAATTATTCCCTTAGCAAAGAACAGGGTCCATTATTAATTGATCTAAGGATCAATAGAGAAGAAAGGAATGTGACACTCTAAGCTGATTTAAGGAAGCAAAGATTTTAATGATTTTTAGGAAACTTGAGGTTTAGCATTCTGGAACTTGTTTTATCTAACATTTACAGACAGATGACCTTGGAAATATGCTTATTCTATTCTATTCTATTCTATTTTTTTTAAACATTTATTTATTTTAGAAGGAGTGAGAGTGTAGTGGGAGGGAGAGGGAGAGAAAATCTCCAGCAAACATCCCACTGAGCACAGAGCCCGACACAGGGCTCAATCTCATGAGCCTGAGATCACCACCTGAGCCAAAACCAGCAGTCAGATGCTTAACTGACTGAGCCACTCAGGCTCCCGAAAATGTGATAATTTTAATTGGCTTTTGTGAACCTGTCTTCTGCCACCTGAGATGAAAGCTGAGAGTAGCTCACTCTTCTCTCTTTTTTCCTGTAGCGTTGGGATGTAAGCAACACACACAGTGCTGTGTACGTTTATGTACAGCATTGTGACCTTACTTACAAATATTGTGAAATGATTACCACATTTAATTTAACTAACATCCATTACTTCATATAGTTATTTGAAAAAAAAAAAAGTTCTTTTCCTTGAGAACTTTTCCCCTCTTCTCTCTGAGTAATCATTCTCCGCTGGATTGCCCTCACACTTGCACACATTGCAACTTCCTCTGATTGCAAGGAGTTTCCAAGAAGATATTTGAGGGGAAAAAAGTAGATAAAAAGTTTCCTGTTCCTACTGTCTCTCCCCTTTTCTTTGTGGAGATCAGGTGCCCTCATGGCATATTTGGGGATCCTCGTACATGTGTAAACAATATTCTCATCCCACTCCATTACAGACCATTTAGCATTTTAGAATCTCTTTAGAAGATCTTTCTCTTTATAAATAACAAAAAAGAAGAACCATTTCCTACACAGCATCGATTGCTATAAACGGCCTCTCAAATAGTCTTTAATCAAATATGCCTACTGTGATCAAGTTTTTAGAAACTTTGAGTTAGGAGTGCCTGGGTGGCTCAGTCGGTTGAGTTCTGACTCTTGATTTCAGCTCAGGCCATGATCTCAGGGTCGTGGGATCCAATGCTGAAATGGGCTCCATGCTCAGTGTGGAGTATGCTTGTCCCTCTCCCTCTGCACCTCCCCCCACTCATGAGCATGGGGGCACAAGCAATCTCTCTCCCTCTCATAAATAAATAAATAAATAAATAAATAAATAAATAAATAAATAAATAAATAAAATCTTCAAAAGAAAGGAAGAAAGAAACTTTGAGTTAGACATTTATAATCACCACTGTCACCTTTCTTCACCTTCTATTTGCTTGGAAGGTGTAGGGTTTTGCAGATTGTTCAGCTTTTGTTTTGCCTTAATGCTTTACTTCCACAAGTGAGAGAGATATTTTTAAACCATGTTGGCAGTTGAAACCTAATATGAAATGTTAGCTCAACAGGATACTGGCCTTCTTGAGGCTTTCCTGCTAGGATGACACGTCAGTGGTTTTGGAATGCCATTCACTCTTACAGGCCTTCCTCACGCCCTAAAACGGGCACCCAAGCATTAAGACAATGGGATTCATTGTCTGTGATAAAAAAGTCAGCGGTTGTTTTATTAATTGGTAAGATACTGCATATAAGACGGCAATTAAAAGTCTAAATGTCGAAGTTTAGAAGGCCTGCGTACTTCTGCTAATCAACCTGAGATCCTGTGACATCTCAATTGTTTAATCTCCTTAAGGCGCAGTGAAGTAGGATAAAGAATAAAGAATATGAATAAAGAAATGCCACATGCTGGCTATCTTCTTGACGTTATTTTCAAGATCATTAAATAAATTAAATGAACTTAGTGAGGCATACTAAATTCTATTGATCTCTTTAGTTAATATGAATATTCTTTTCCCTGACTAATGAGTAATCTTCAATAATTTACTTATCCAGGCTGCTATTTTTAATGTCCAAGTATGAAATTATTTCATGGTTAACTTACTAATGCCAAGAAATTACATCTTTTTCAAGGAGAGATAAAAACTGAATAAATAATGTGCCAATACCCCAGCATCCTTTGACTTACAGAAAGACTGATCTCTAGAAGGCAATATCTAGAATAACTAATTCTAGAAAGAATTCCTGAAAGAAGAGGCTATTTTGAATTCACTGTTTTCTCTTCTTAAAACAATAGGCAGTCCCATTTTGGCTGGTATCTGATCCTAAATATTCCTTTCTTCCCTGGGCATTTGTCATAACTCTGTTCCGGGGTGGAAGTCTGTTCTCTCTTACTTAATTTCTTTCCTGACTTTTTCATTCCTTGCCAAGGAACTCAAGCTTTTTTTTCTAGGCAATGATTTTGTGAATGATGACCAGTGTCCTATTTTGTGTCCCAAAAGCCCAATGGCCCAGTAGTGTCTTAAACATTATACAGGAAGAAGGTCCTGTAGGATAAAGACAGTAAGTAATGTGCAAACACAAGAAGTGAAACATGAGTTAACTTCATATTAAGTGTATAGTTTTCACTCATTTTGGGAACCACCAAAGTAATAAGGCCTGTATTGTCCTGATTCTTCACTTTATGGAACATTGCGGTGAGAGGGTCCAAGAGCATTATACCCACTTTTCCACAGTGTGTTGGAAAGGAAACAAATAAGCATGAATGCACTCATTCACAGAAAACCCAGGAGGTGGGACCCAGGAGGATGGCTAGAGATTCAGAAGACTGTTGTAGGAGCTATGCTCACTCAGAGATGGGAGAGAATATGGGGCTTGGAGTGAAGGTAGCAGCAGGCCCAAGAGATTCTTGAGGAAGATGTCAAAAGTCTTGTAGAGCTTTTAGTTTTTTGCTGTGCCAAACTTTCTCTATAATCTTAGAGAAGTCGCTCCAATCTCTATGGACCACAACTTCCTCAACTATATGACCTCTTAAAAGAATATGAATGGGTGAATTTAAGTTGATTTGTATGGGGTAACTTACAAACCTTACTGCTGAGGATTTGTGGGAAAATGCAGAATTGCAACTGAACACTCACCAGGATGCTTTTAGAATCCAAAGAGGTATGGAGACTTTGAAACACGAGACTTACTACTGGTTTATAAATTGGGAGATTCTGGAATTGAGGTGTGAATAGCCCTTTTCTGTGTTGATTAATTGCAGACCCCAGAGGGTATAAATGAAGAACAAAGGATTCAGGAGTTGGCAGCAATGGAGGAGACCCGGATAACAATTCTAAATAACCTCGAAGAACTTGAACAAAAAATCAAAGACATAAATGACCAGATGGATGAGTCTTCCAGAGAGGTATAAACCAGGAGTTGATTTTTTACCCCTCCCTTGTTTCTCACTTTCCTCTAGCTTAAGAATATTACTGCCTATTAAGGCATAGACTTTGGAAGCAGAATACATAGAAATCAACAATGAATTAATATTTTTTTCAGTGCACCCTGTATAGGGTAAAAATAGCTTTTTTAAAAAAAAAACTTTTTCCTTATCTTTTTTTTCTTAAGTCAGATGAGTCAAACATATGAAGCCATTTTTGATGTACTTTGGATATAATCAATTTTGTCTTGGGCAGCCCCGGTGGCTCAGCAGTTTAGCGCCGCCTTCAGCCCCGGGAGATCCAGGATCGAGTCCCACATCAGGCTCCCTGCATGGAGTCTGCTTCTCCCTCTGTCTCTCTGTCTCTGTCTCTATGTCTGTCTGTCTGTCTCTCTCTCTCTGTCCCTAATAAGTAAGTAAAATCTTAAAAAAAATTTTTTTTGTCTTAACTAGTGTGTGCTTTCCGACTTGCTATAGATTTGTCTGTCAGCTGAGGTGTTCAAGTTCAAATCCAACAGTTTCCTGAGTATGCTTAGTATGAGCTGGACATCATGTTGGTACTATAGGGGGATTTATATATGAATCAAACATAGACTAGCTTTCTAGAGGTTTGCAAATCAGAGAGGAGACAGACACATTGTCTATTACTATAATAGGAGAAAGGGGTAATTTTCATACTATCTCCACAGAGCAAGTAGGAGCAAATGCTTCTGCCTAGCATGTGTATACTCACAGATGGTGCAGATAGCTATAAGCAGAAGGGGACTGCTCACCTGTCATCTTATACACAGACCCTGGACGTCCCTCCTGCTGGCATTGCTAAGAATGCATCACTTGCATGCTGGGCCGGGTGTAATTTTCACTTCCCATGCTCTGTGGACAAAGACAGACACAGCTGCTCCCAGGATGGTTTGTGCTTGAGCCTGAATCTGAGCAAATAGGTCAAATATTATGGAGAAGTTAGTAGAAAAGGAGTTATAGTAGAGAAATTAAATGATAGGTAGATTTCTTAGTAAATACATTGTGGGCTGTTCGGCTTTCTTATAGGAATTTTTGAGTCTCACCTGGACTCTCCAGGGTGCTCTCTAGATCCCACAGTCTGACTGATACCATAGTACTTTTTGAAATTTGTAGTTGTTAAAAATGCACCTCTAAAGTGGGCAGTTGAGAATCTCTCTGAAGGTGAAACACCTCTGAGCTTTGTTTTGTATCCTCAGTTGGATATGGAATGTGCTCTTTTGGACGGAGAACAAAAATCTGAAACAACTGAACTTATGAAAGAGAAGGAAATTTTGGATCATCTAAACCGGAAAATAGCAGAACTGGAAAAGAACATTGTTGGTGAAAAGACCAAGGTAAAGGAAAAGTAGATTCTAATGCAATGTTTATGAGCAATATGGTGATTCCATTTGGTCAAATTTAAATGTTGTATGAATTCCCGTGGTTTTGGATTTGTGTGTCATGTTCCTGGAGACAGTGGTTCTAGAGGAAAGCCTTAAGATGAGGTAAGTTCTTCGCAAAGAACTGTCAGTGACCGAGCTGTGGATGCTAAGAGAGTAGAGCCCATTGAACTTTCGATCTGATATTCATGGCAGCTAAATCTACGTGAGATGAGTGACTTGCTTTTTTTCCAGCAGCCTTTCTGCTCTTCTGATTGTACTGTGTTTTTTAAAGATGGTTTTCAGCATGCTAAACTTCTTAACCACTGGTATCCTATGGGGATGACTTAAGCATATTCATATATGGTTGCCTTTTTCCTTTTCATTTTTCTGTTTATTAAGACTTTGAATGGGAACCATTCATCTCATCTGTCTTGCCTTGCCATTGTATTCTTCATTCTTCATTGTATTCTTGCATTCTTCAATGCAAGAGCACTGCTGTTTGACAAATGCATTGGAGCTGACAGGGAATCCTCGCACACTGCCAAGTGGAAAATAGCCATGAAACACAGTTGACACTTACCTTGAAAAAGGTCTTACACATACATTTCAGCCACAACCTGAATGTTGGTGGATATCTACTAGGGAAAGTGGGAAAAATTACCTACGATTTTTAGAATTCAGGGTAGTTGTTGGTTTTTTTGTTTGTTTATTTGTTTCCCCTGGGAAATATTTTACTCACTCTTCTCTCACATTCTGAGTTAGTTACAGCTAAACTAAGCCTAAAATTAAAAAATGAAATTCCAGTTTCGGAGGGAAGAAGCAAATGAACTTGAACACATTCTTCCTTGTATTCCAACTTCTACACTAAGCTGAGAAAAAGAAAAAAAATCACTTTGAGTAAGTTCTAGTGGGTAGTATGTGAAAAGGATTTCTACTGAATGTGGCCTCCTTTTTAGGCTCTTCTTTGTTTGAGACCCTATAAATAAGGGCATTTGATCTTGGTGCCAGAGAATGAGCTCAAAGTGATATTGTCAGAAATTGATGTCAGACTAACAGTTACACATCAATTTCTTGGTTGCCTGCTTGTCAAGATTAACTACACAGCTTTTTCACATTAAGTTTTATGTCCATTCCTTCTAGCTCCAGACTTTGAAATAGTAAAGAAACCCATTTGGGTTGTTGGTATATATTTTTTTTAAAAAAGCTCAAAACGAAGTCAAAGGATTGATTGTCTAGATCTGCAGTAGAGGCTGATTCTGCTTTTTCAAAATTCAGCATGGGTATAGCAAGAAATTGTGGGAAGTATTAGAAGTCTTTGTTTGGGGTGCTTATTAGTATTTATTTTTATATCATACTGGAAAACTTGTGGGACATAGGAATGGGTATCATGTTCTCCATGAACCTTCCTCATGGATGTAGTTATTTATTGTTGTGTAACACACACGTGGCATGGCCTGCAAATTCTATTTGTCTCTATCATTAGCATGAGACACAAAAGTGAAGCAAGCCATGTCAAAGCTTAATCCCATCTCCCAGGGAAAGTTGTGTTATATTCTGAGGACCTGAAGGAGAGGTGGGACTCCCGGAATGTGGGCAGAAACAAGAAAGGAGGCCACCTCCATCCTTCTATTATTGTTTTGGTAAGCTTGACAGAGGCTGTGCATAGGAGAGGGGACGGTGGGGGTTAGAAGTTTAGGACTGGCTTGTGCAGCTGTTAGGGGATTCGTTGGTCTTAGAAAGTGGGATTATTGTCTGTCATCACATGGTATAAAAAGTGACAGAAACTGGCTTTGGATTAGAGCTTCCAGAGAAGGACAAGGGAAGTAGAAACAGACTGGACTAGATGACCTTATACATATTTTGACAACCAAACTCAAAGAGAGACTCGATACCACTTGGCAGCATTACTATATTTTTCAAATAAACTTATACCAGTCTAAGACATGGCTGTTTCACGCTTTTATTCTGTTCAGACCTCTGGTCTGTTTTCCTCCCACTATGATGACCTCACCACCCACTTCCCTGAGAAACCAGATGTATCCTATCCTTCACAATGAAGGAGGGTTCTCTCCACCCCTCAAAGATAAGTGCCTTTGGAGGTACTGTGGGTGTCATCCCATCCTACTGTCTCAAGGTCAGCTCTCCTGTACCCCCCCTACCCCAGCCTTCCCCTCTTTAGTGGACTGTTACTGCCAGCATATCAACATTATTTTTACGTTTTATTATTATTTAAATATAAACTACCTTCCAGCTATTGCCATATCTCATTTCTCTTCATTGTAGCCATGCTTTTCAAACAGTGTTCCCGCTATGCTGCGAGGTCTCTTCCTCAGTTCCTAATTACCCATCGCCCCAATTACGGTCAGCTTAGACCCCCAGTATTCCACCAGAAGTGTGTCTCTTTACATCTAAGTACTGCCCAACCTACTGCACTTTTTTAGTTCTCTTGCGATCAGACTTCCTGGGCAGCATTCAAGACCGGGGACAGATCTTTTTCTTCATACTTGCCTCTCCCCATCCACCATTTGGCCTCTGGCTGCCTCCTCTTCTGGTTCCCCTTCTCTTTCTCTTCCTCATTCTCTCTGACTTCTCCAGCTGGGTTCCCTGTGCTTGTTCCTCTACCTCTGTAAAACCAGTTGCTAGAGTGTTTGTCTCTGATCTGAACCCTCTTCTCTTGTTTTGTTTTGTTTTGTTTTTTTTATTTATGATAGTCACAGAGAGAGAGAGAGAGAGAGAGAGGCAGAGACACAGGCAGAGGGAGAAGCAGGCTCCATGCACCGGGAGCCTGATGTGGGATTCGATCCCGGGTCTCCAGGATCGCGCCCTGGGCCAAAGGCAGGCGCCAAACTGCTGCGCCACCCAGGGATCCCATGAACCCTCTTCTCTTGTATCCTCACATTCTTTTATAGCCATGGCTTCCCATGACCTGTATACGCTGGTGACAGTCAAGTGTGTCTGTAGCCTCCAACACTTTCCTGAACTTCTGACTCATATCCTGTAGTCTACCTGACATCTGCACTCAGACATTTCACAGCTACTGCCGACTCAATGTTCGTAATGAACTCTTGATCTTCTCCCCCTTGTCTTCCACAATTCACCTCACCCCCACCACCAATCCTGTTCTTCCTCCAGTGTTCCCAGTCCAGGAGATGGCATCTCCAGCCGCCTCTATATCCAAATGGAAACCTGGAAGTAGACCTTGACCCTTCTTTCTCCATCACCTTCACATTAAGAGTTCTCAGTTAGTTTAGCTTCTCTGCATCTCCACTAACAGCGTTCTATTCTAACCCATCAGAATCTCTTCTTTACTTCCATTCCCATTTGCTTCCCTTTAGCTCATTCTCTTCACAACAGCCAGAGTGATTTTTAAAAATATATAAATTAGGTCACCTCACTCTGCTTTGTGTTCCACCATATTTTATATAAGTTTTATGTAAATCTTAATTCCTGACCTGTTGCATGCCTTTGTCACTCTCCCCTCCTTCACACAATGTACATGGTGACTTTCTTTCTATTTGTTTAAAGAGCTTCCCACCCCCACCCCCTACCAGATCTGTTTCCCACGCCTGGAATTCCCTTCCCCAAATTCCATATCTTGTTGGTTCTATCTTTCAGGGCTGAGGTTCTTTGTTAGCTTTTCAGAAAAGCCGTTTCAGTTCTTTTCAGTTCAGATTATGTTCTCCCTGTTGTTCTTTTAGTCCTTGTACAAATCATATTTCATATTTCACATTTATTTGGGGCTTGTTAGATATGAATGTCCCTCTCCAGTATGTAAAATAGAGGAAGGCACTGCTACCCACTGTTTACCCAGCTTACAGCACTAGAATACCACCCAGTATGCTTCAGGAATATTGTCCCTGGATCTCCTGCTAACAGCAAGCCCAGGCGGGCCCTTAACAGAAACATTGAGCCAAACACCTGCTCAAGAGCTATGTGCTGCCAAGTTCAGGCCATCTGGGATGGTCTGCTTCAGTACACATGCCAGTGGGCTTGTAGTCACACTGCCAGTTGAGCCAGAGTGTAAGACAGAAGGAGGAAGTGGCCTTTGCCCCTTTGGATCTCGTTTCCTTTTGCATACACCTGTTGCTGCTGTCAGATATAAACTGTGGAATGAGAAAACCAAAACCTGGAAAGATATCCCCGTCGGGCAAGCTCTGCTTCAGATGTCCATAGCACATCCTGTAAGCCTGGCCCTGCTTTTTGGATACAAGGCCTAGAGCATAGGAAGAGGGCTTACTAACACCTCAAATTTCAAATACCGATGTGAAATTATTGACATTGTTTCCTTGGCACTGGAGGCCAGCCTTTAGTACTATTTCTCTTATCTGATTTGGGAACTATCATTCTATTTTACCTATTTGGTATAAGTTAATATACAGGTATCACTCACTTTTCAAAAGTTCACATTATGGTTGCCACACATTTACGAAAGAATTCCATTAGAATCTACCTTCACTAACCAAAAGAAATCCGAAGAGGATTTCCGCTTTTATGCAAAAAGTTGAGAAGTGAACATAGCCTTCAGTGTATGGATAGGATTCAGCATTTGTGCTGCCGTGAGCTGGTACAGGGGCAGCGTACACTCGCACCCTCAGCAGCCAGAGTGGTGCCATCAAGCTCCTTCCCCGGGAACTACAGCAGCATCTCAGCATTAAGCAGCCACAGCTTCCAACTCTGGGAGTATCTGTGCTTGATCTCGCCTTGTTTATTCTGTACATCTGTTAGATGACCAAGACGTGTCCTAAGGTATCGAGAAAGCCTAAGAGAGGTTATTTTGGAGGGTCTGGGAAGGCTTAAGATTTCTTCCGTATAATTTAATGGTAATTGCTTCTTCACTTTACCCCATTTTGGCTTAGGAAAGGTTTCATAGGATTGCTCAACTTTCAGATACAGGGGGAAACCTGTATGTTATAGATGACTGCTATTTATTATATGCTACCATCAGTGATATAAACAATATAAAATATGAACAA